GTGCTGCTACCACTTAGCATCATTGTTGAGGCCCATCTCTATCTGCTTAATGCAGTGTTTCTCAACCTCAGCCACTTTAAGATGTGTGGACTTCAACTCCCAGAATTCCAGAACTATAAAGGTGCATTTGTGTATATAAATATAATATATAAAGGATAGGCTTACCATGGTAATGCAATAAAATGGCAATTCAGTGGTAATTGATTAAAAAGCACAAATGGGGGAACACGCTAAATGACCAGGAAAGAGATCCGGCTCCAGGTAATCTTGCTTGGGATTGAAAGTTTCATAAATGGAGTTTGATATTCCATTCTGCCCAAGAACTCTTACTCTATTCTGCTGACTTAGATATTTGGGCAACCTTCCATATGTTATGAGACACCTAGCTTTGGAAGTGTTGGCAACATATAAATGTTAGCAAATAAAATAATACGTAAATACATACATATTTAAATTCCCTGACTCTGGGAAATACAAATATATCATGGATTCCTGTAGAACTGTGTATCCATCCTACTCTTTAGAATCATGTCAAGAACAGTTGAAAGCCACAGAGTGTATATGTTACGCAAATTGAGCAGACATTTATAGATATTATTTTGCATTACAGGTAGTCCTCGTTTAGCAACTACAACTGGGACTGGCAATTTGGTTGTTAAGTGAAGGGGTCGCTAAGTGAAACCGTAACTGTGCTTATGATCTTACTTTAGCTTTCCTTTGCCTTACAGACCTGCAAAGGTCGTAAATGTGAGGATTGGTCGAAAATTACTTTGTCATCACTGTTGTAACTGTGAACAGTTGCTGTATGAGGCAGTTGCTAAATGAGGACTACTTGTATTTATTTATTTATTTTTTTCATAATGTATTCTGGGTTTCACTACAGGGGGAGCGGGATGGATCTGGAGATAGTGGCAGTATGCTGTTGGAAATCTCATTTAGTAAGTTTGAGGGTTCAGCAAACATGGCCCATATGCTTTCGAGAAACCCTTGAGAGTTGCTGAACTCTAGCTGAAAAGAAAAGAGAACTGCAGTTCACAAGAATATCTGCAGATATTTCAGCACTCCTGTGAAGTCTCAGTATGTCTACCTCAAATGTCAAGTCCAGTTTTTTTCTAGCATGTTGCTTTTTTAATCCATTTTGTATGGGTTTGTTTTAAACAAAAACATTGTGATGGTGGTGGTGGTGGTGGAAATACAGATGGTTCTCGGGTTACGACCCTCATTCAGCAACCATTCAAACTTGTGATGGTGTTGAACAAGGGGGACTTAAGACCAGTCCTCAGATTTCTGGCTGTTGCAGCACTCCTGCGGTCACATGATTGTGTTCTGGGCGCTTGACGTGTGGATCACGATTATGATGTCACAGCAAGCTGAGGTCACATGATTGCAATTTCTGACATTCCCTGCCGGCTTCCCACAAGCAAAGTCCATGAGGAAGCTGGCAGGAAGTCAGAAGTCGTGGTTATCTGAAGTCCTTGCTTAACAACCCGTGCAGTCCTCGCTTAACAATGGCAACCAGGACTGCCGGAATCACCCTCGCTAAGCGATGCAGTCACGTGACATTGTGCTTTACAACCATGTCACTTAGCGATGGCAATTCTGATCCCAATTGCCATTGTAACCTGAGGACTACCTGTGTTTGAACAGATTATTTTTACTATCTGCTGTCAACTAGTATGTTGCATGGAGGGTTGCTCTATATACTTTTTCTAATATACCTATAAATCCCAACTCTTCCTTCTCCTTGCTTCCTTTATTTTCCCCTTCTTGACCCTGTATGGGTTTTCCCCTTTGACTGATATTGATATCTAACTGGCAGTCCTTTTGTTCTAATTGGCCACCATTCCCCCCCCCCTCCTTTGCCCCATGCAATGGACAGGCGGAAGCGACGCAATTTCAGCAAACAGGCCACTGAGGTCCTCAATGAATATTTCTACTCGCACCTGAGCAACCCGTATCCCAGCGAGGAGGCCAAGGAGGAGCTTGCCAAGAAATGCGGCATCACCGTCTCGCAGGTACCAGGACGTGTGCGGGGGGCAGGTCTGAAGCTGATCCAAGCAGGCTGCAAGACTGTCTGCAAGAGACGGTAGGATCACTTCGGGAAAGAAGGTCGGCAGGGGGAAAGGGTCCTGGTTTGGCTGACCTATCGATCCATAATTCCCTTCCTTCCTCACCCCTCTTTCCCCTCATTCCCATCCCGCTTCCTGTCCCATTTTGACCTTCGCCCCCTCCCTCCTTCCAGGTCTCAAACTGGTTCGGGAACAAGCGCATCCGATATAAGAAGAACATCGGCAAGTTCCAAGAGGAAGCCAATATTTACGCCGTGAAAACGGCTGTCAGCGCCGCACAGAGCGGGGGCGACTCTCCCAACACCCCCTCCTCCGCGGGTAACTCCCCTCCTCCCCAAAACTCCGCTACACCCCATGTTGGTGCAGGAGTCCTTGCTGGGAGTGGAGAAGCATGGAACTGCCCCCTCCCATAAACATTGGAGTTACTCAGAAGAGTCTCCATTCCCAGCTCTTCCATCCCATTCTCAACAAGTGATGATCCCTACTGAGTGCAGACATGGATGCTTCCTTCCTTCCTTCCTTCCTTCCTTCCCCCCAGCCCATTTATACATGCACCCCTTTTCTGGCCTGGTGTAATGGTCTGCGGGAATGACCTTGGGAGACAGGAGGAAGAGCTGCTGACTAGGCAATGGTCAGATAAGAGGCAGCTTAGCCCACAGAAGCAATAGGGGCGTGACAAACATCTCAGAAGGGACCCTCCCTAGTTTCTTGGGCTGTAAAGGCAAAGGGGGAGAGATGTACTTTCAGATTTGCAAGATTCGGCTAATGTAACCTTACAATAAAGATGAAGCTAGTACTCCTGGGTGCGCTTCGCAGGGCTGACACCTGGGAAAAGCTTGGGGCTCTTGGCTTGTACCTCCAGCTAATTAACTTGGTAGTAGCATTAATCTTTTCTTTCCTAGAAAGAGCTGCATTTTCCACCCATTCACCCTGTTGCTCTTTTTCTCCCATCTTTCCTCAATTTTTTGGCAGGCTCCGGTGGCTCCTTCAATCTCTCCAGTTCGGGGGATATGTTCATGGGCCTTCAGGGTCTAAATGGAGACTCTTACTCTACATCACAGGTCAGTTCTCTCGCTTCTTGGACGAATAGGGACGTCTGGAGCGGAGAGCAATGTTCGTTTCTCCACTTGGGACATATAGCGCCTGTGCAGCAACACCACCAGCTGTTCTCCTCACTGTTATTTTGGCACAACAATGTTTGGATATTTGAGAAGACAATAATCATGATCATTACGATCCAGGGATTCTCAAGGCTACAGGCTAGACTAGGAAGGAAAAAAAACCCATCCTTGCTGATCACTTCTGCACTGCTGCCAAGAATACTACATCAACATATCCATGAGGTCTCCAGGAGCTTGACTTAACAGGAGCTTTTATCTTTCCGTTTTATTTGGAAAGCTCTTTCTAAGAATCTTGATGCAACTGTACAATAGGGGATGAAGAAGAAGGAACCAAATACGGCACTTTTTTTCTGACAGGCAATAATAACTTTTGTTTATTGCCAGTGTTTATTGAACTACTTCCTTCTCAAGTGCTGTTCAGAAATGTTGGACCAAAGTCCCATCGTCCCCCATTACCAGAACAAACAACTGTACTGATTCTATGTGATGGGACATTTAGTCAAACCCATTTGAGAACATAAGGTCTCTCAGATTGCTTTCCATCCTTTAGATCAGTGTTTTTTAATTTCAGCAACTTTAAGATGTGCAGACTTCAACTCCCAGGATTCCCCAGCCAGCAATGCTGGTTGGGGAATCCTGGGAATTGGAGTCCGCACATCTTAAAGTTGCTGAGGTTGAGAAAAACTGATTTAGGTGACTGATTGCTAATTTAAATTACAGTGGAAATTTCACACTATACAATGCCCTTATCCCCATAGCAAACTGCTGTGATTAGCTTCTGTAATGTTCACCTACAAATAAGTTCTGTTTAGCAAAAGTCCTTTTCCATATTAATTTAAAATGTTTACATGTCTTTTCAAGTTGATTATATTTGCCCAGAACAAATGGTCCCAATTTACTTATATATATAAAAATGTATAAGACTACCCCACTCAGAGTTTGTGACTTTGGCCAGAATACATCCATAAAAACACAGATTTAAGAGCTGGTTTTAACCTGTTCGGCTTGGCACTGAATTACCTGCGCTAGAGTTGTCCTGGTCTCTTTGATTGTGCTGGGAGAAGCAGTTTGTCATTCCCCACTTTTGGTAGGATGGAGGGTGGGGGTGCTGAAGCCCTGAAGTATTTTTCCACGATGGGGCCAGCTCTGGATGGTCTCCCTTAACCTGATAAGGTTAAATACAGCACTTTTCCAGAGCACTCGGGGATCTGATAGTGGTATTACTTTTGTGGGTTTTTGAGTATTTATAATATACTTTTTATTCTGTGTTGTTTAATTTTTTTGCTTTGTTATTGTGAGCCATTGAGAGTTTTTTCATGATTGTGGCAGGAAGAGGATGATGATGATGATGATAATTTATTATTAATATAATAATTATTAATAATATTTTATATTATATTAATAATATATTAATACTTAATAATATTTAATAATTATTAATTATTGGTATAATTATTATTAATTATTATTAATTATTATTATTATTAAACTTGTATGCTGCCTGACTCCCAACTACTCGGGGCGGCTCACAACAATCAGACAAAGAAATTAAAATCAATAAAAGATGGAAGCGCAACAGACCAGATGGAATGAAGCGAGGGGTCCCACTCTCCCTCGCCAGAGACCTGGGGGAAGAGCCAGGTCTTCACTGCTTTTTTGAAAAACAGCAGAGTGGAGCCATCTGGATCTCGAGGGGAATCCCATTCCAGAGGATATCAATTTGATAGTGGAATATATAAATAAATAGCAATTGAGCCAAAAGTAGCTGTAATGCATAGCCAATATAACAATAAAACAATATGACAATATGGTCAATACATAGCCAAGACTGGGTATAGCAAGCACTCATTCTCCCAAGAGAACGGGCTCACCTACTATCTTGGTCCAATGCGTGGGAGAAAAGCCAAGTCTTTACAGCTCTGTGAAAAGATAATACAAGTAGTCTTCGCTTAACAATCACAATAGGGACTGGAAAATTCAATGTTGTGGGGCAGTTGTTAAGTGAGTCATGCCTGATTTTATGGCCTTTTTTGCAGCAGTCATTAAGTGAATCACCATGGCTGTTAAGCAAACCACACAGTCCTTAAGCAAATCATGTGGTTCCCCACTGATTTTGGTTGCCGGAAGACAGCTGGGAAGGTCATAAATGGCACTCATGTCACCCAGGAGGCTGCAACCATCATAAGTGCGAGCTGGTTGCCAAGCACCTGGATTGCGATTGTGTGACCACAGGGCTGCTGCGACGGTTGTAAGTGGAAGGATTAGTTGTAAATCCCTTTGTTCAGCACCGTTGTAACTTTGAACAGTCGCTAAACAAATTGTCATTAAGTGAGGACTACCTGTAGAGTCAAATGTTAGTTTCTTGGCTGTGGGAACTGGGAAGAAGTTTAAATTGCTGTTTTCCTTGCATCACTTTTTTCTTTCTGAAGTACTATGTTGCTTTAAAAAGGAAAAAGGAGAATAAGGAAAATATATGGCAAAATATGTATTGTACATACAGTAGATAATGAAACAACTCCACCCTGTTGGATATTTCTCAGCCTCCCCCTTCATCTTCCCAAGCTTGCATTCTCTCTACCTTTTGTGTGTTTTATGTTAACTTCTAGGTGGAGTCGATGCGTCACTCCATGGGGCCTGGTGGCTATGGGGACAGTATGGCTGCCAACCAGATGTACAGCCCACGAGAAATGAGGGTGAGTTTAGATCAAGAGGTGGATACCTTCCAGCCACTGAAGAGGTCGCTTCTGACCCAGGCCGCACCGTTTCAAACTGCCTGCCTGAGTGTGCTTGTGTAATCAGATAAAAACAGATCTTAAAGAGCCACCTAGTCAAGTTAACCCAGAGACAGCTCCTTCCCAGCTGCTGTGGTGATTTCATTTGAAATTGACAGACATCAAGAGAAGCCATACATTTTGTATGCCAGTGCATACACAGTCCATTCTGTGATCCTGTTGGTTAGTGCAAATGCTTAACAAACCAGGAAGATTCCTCAACCCTGGATCTTTGCTTGTTACTCCATCTGACATCCAAAACTGGAAACCGGAGTTGTCAGTCTTGGATTCTTGGCTTCTTCTGCAGCAATAACCAGGATCCCTGATTCAAACAAATTAAATAAACCATTCCTAGATTGTTTGGTGGTCCCATTAGAATCATTGAAGTTCTATCCTGAGTTCTGTCGTGAAGTTGGAAGGGGCCATGTAGGTCATTGAGTCCAACTCCTGCTCAGATTAAAGCAGCCAAGTTAAATCCCAGGAAGAGCTGTCTAGCCTTTGCTTGAACACATCCAGTGAAGGGGGGGACCACCAGCTCTCTAGGTCATGGATTGTATTTAACCATTGATGTTTTTTCTAATGTTGAATCAGAATCTGCCTTTCCATAACTTAAACCCATCATTCCGTGTCCTACACTCTGGAATGAGAGAGAACTTGACTTGACTTTTTTCTATGAGATATCCTTTCAGGTGTTTCAAAATATTCTCCTCCCTTTAAATCATATTTTTTCAAGGCTGAACCTGTTGAGTTGGAAGGGAAGGAGAGCAACCTTGTTCATAAGTCAGGATTCTTTCCATTCTCACCCCGTGAGAATCTGAAATTTCAGTTGTTGCTCCGGTTACGATGCATACCCACCAGTAGGCCTTAGAGAAATAGCTATCACCACACTTGCAACTGAAGCATGTTATTCAGACAGAGATTAGGAATGATCAAAGGAATGTTACTGATTTCAGTTGCTATGAAAAGATTGAGATTCAAAATTCTGGAGAAAAAAATTTATTGCTGAAGGGTAAAAAAACCCTAGAGACAAGATTCTCTGAATTATTTCTAGAATGCCTTTATGTCAAGGAATGATTGCTGGAATTCAGGATTCTTAAGGACAAAAGATTGTGGCTTAATGAGAAGAAATGTAGTTGTGAGCTGAAAGTTCTCCATTGAGAAATTCTAGTTTAAAATTTTTGGACCTGCTAGTAAGGTTTGGTGGAATATACCTCTGACTGCTGAAGCATCTTCTGCTGTCTACTAAATATTCTTCTTCCAAACTCCTCTTTCTACTAAATCAAAAGACTGAACTCTCTTGATCTAAATAAAGGTGCACATTTTTGCTTACTTGGCACAGTTGAATCAGCTGTCATAGATGAAAAGGCAAGGAAATGGAATTCTCCACAACTGAAAACCTTATTCAGACTTCAGAGATTTTAGTGAATATAAGGAACACGTTAACAATAGAGATGCCTGCAAGGATCATGGCACATATGACACCATAGATCAGTGTTTCTCAACCTCAGGGACTTTAAGATGAACGAACTTCAACTTCCAGAATTCCCCAGCCAGCAATGCTGGCTGGGGAATTCTGGGAGTTGAAGTCCACACATCTTAAAGTCCCTGAGGTTGAGAAACACTGCCAGAGACAGTGTATGCAGAGCCACAGAATGGTAGGTTACAGTCCACAGCCTTCAGTGAAGATCCTTCATTCCACACTGGATTGATATGGACTGGTATCTCTCTATATCTGCCCAAATCCTGGGTGATCACACTTTTTAAAAATTTTAGTTAATACCTGCACCATTCAAATCACATAGATGTACCTGTGTGAAACGTTTGCTGTGGCCTGTTAAAAAACTTCAGAGCTTGCTTTTAAGAAAAGCGAAAGAAGTACTGAGATTTTTGGAGTGATAAATTCCAACTTTTCCATTCCATTTCTGTGGGATTGTGACATTTGCATGCTCCTGATAAGATTTGCTTTTCTGACATTTTGTTTTCGATTAGGACAGTGAAAGTCACTTGGTCTGAATTGCCTAATATTCACTTCCAACTCTATGATTCTGTATATAGGGTGTCTTCAAGAGGGGGGGGGATGAACAAGGGAAACAAATGATGACACGTGCCTGATGGTGTCATCACATGATTGGCGCAACTTCTGTACTTGTGTCAAGAGTTGCACAAGAATGTATTGGCTGCATTTGCCTGCTGGTATCATCACACGTGTGTCATTATTTTGGTACCATCACAATTTATTATGGATGCTGCTGATTCGGTAACAGTTCAGGAACAGCTTTATTATATTATCTGCTTTTCCAGGTAAGTACAACATACTGTGGCATATTCTGTACGTCAATAATTATATATACATATTTGACTTTTTTCCCTCCTGATAACGACTGTCTTGGATGATAAACTTAGGAATTGTATGTACTTTAGAAGAGGAATGGATGTAAAATGATATTCCAGTGTTCTCAAACAGTTGCTTGGGTTGCATAACCATGTTGGGCGTGTGGGAAGTAAGACTGATTATTTTAGTAGAAGACAAATGGATCTGAAGTAGATTTAGGACTTTAAGAAAGCAGGGGGATGGTTCATTAACTGGAATTTTCACAGGGCGGGGACTGAAAACTGATATACTCTTTAGAGAAGGGAAATTTACCTTAATTGTTCCTTTTTATTTTCACTAGGCCAATGGGGGCTGGCAGGAAGCAGCCACCCCATCTTCTGTAACCTCCCCAACAGAAGGTCCTGGCAGCGTCCACTCTGACACCTCCAACTGATCATGCTGTGCTGGCCGTCCCCACTTTTCATGCTCGTCCTGATGCCAGGGAAGAGAAAAATGCCAGTTGTGAATGGGCTGGGCAGAGGAAGAACTCTTTTCATTGCCTTAGGATCATAGCATCACAGTGCCGGGGAAGGGTGGGGAGGGGATCCAATGATGCACCCCTGGGGCTTCAAGATGGCAGCACTCCTTGGGGCAGATCATTTGAGATGTACCCATTTGATATAGGATGGTAGTCCTTCTGTGATCCTGAATGGCATCTTTAGTAATCAAGATACGACTCTTAAGCATCCTGGAGGGGACCCAGTATGGTGACACTATTGGGAGGTGGGTGGGAAAGGGTGGGAGGTGCTGTCCCAAATGGCTTATCAATTTGGAGGGGTTGAGGGATAAGCTAATGTGGTACCTGAAACCAGTATCATAATCTGATGGATCGGTCTCATAAGTTACACCTGCCCCAAAGGATCCAAGATGGCAGTATGGACTGATCTCTTGGTGGTAGAATGGGCAAAGAAAGTTGCCAGATAGGGCTTATGTTGGCATCTCTCCAAGATGGGATGATTCCAAGGTGGTAGGCTGGTGTCTTCCTGTCAAGTTTAACTACGATATGAAACCATTGGAGATACAGATCCTGTCTAGACCCAAGATGGCACTTCCTTCATATGTTGTAATCAAGGATAGTAGCTTCTGTTATGGGATCTTTCTGAAAACAAGAAATGCTCTTTTGCTCCTGTCTTGAAAGCGGATCGTGTGGAGTCACGATGCTATCCTTTCTTGGACTGAACCATCTGACATGCCTCTCCGTATGAATTGCCGTTTTCCTGCATCTGAAGATCTAAGATTTCATCTGAATCAGAAAGGAGATGTTTCTCTGGAAGATAACCTTAAAGGAAAGGTGTGGGAAGCCAAGGTGTTGATGAGTAACGTTGGTAAGGAGGTTAGACGTAAGACGTACCTTTATCCAAAGGTAGTGGTAGAATTCCATTAGAGCAGCTAAACGTATTTAGGAAGGGGAAGTAGTATTAAGCACAAAGCTTGTATCTCTTTCTGTGCAGGACTGGATGCGCTAGAACAGGGTTTTTCAAACTGTTTGGTGGAACCCTAAGATGCTATGAGAATTTGATGGGGTTCCATAAGAAAATAGGGAGAAAAAATACAGCCAGTTTGCTGTCACTAGAATTTTGCCTCTTGAATAAGGGATTCCAGGAATTTTTCTTTAAACACTCACAATTTTTTGTGGCTTGAAAATGTCTGAAAAACTCTGCTCTGGAATCATTGGGGGAAGGCAGCTAGGAGGCGAAGGAATCCAGCTTACCATAAATGCTACACTACGCCAGTGTTATGAGATCACGCAGGCGCCATGCAGTATCAGGGAAAGACATATTTAAGTTAAGGAGACAACCGCAAAGCCACACTTGCTCTGAAGCACCTTGTCACACCCTGTCGGGGTGGCCTTAACTCAAACCTGTGTTTTCCTGGGATTGCACGGCTCCCGTGCAGTCCCAGGGCAAGACAGCTTCGTTAAGGAGGTGCTAACGGGCATCGCGCCCACCCCGAAACTCCTTTTCAGCATTGGATCTGAAATGCTGGAGCTGTAAATCTTTTCTGTTTTCTGTTCCTTACTGCTTTTCTTTGTCTCTAGGGTTAGGGTTAGGGTATCTAATCTTACGTCTGATCAGTTCTAATGTGTCCATATTCCTTTCGAGATTTATTCTTGTTTTTCATTTTTAATATTTTCTGAAGGTTGAGCCTCAGTTTTCTTTCTGTACGCCTTCTCCGTGACCAAGCTAGAGTTTTTCTGCCCGATCAAACAGAGCTTGATCGGCTAGATTCCTGAACTACACATTTTTGGTGTGGTGGGTGTGCAGATTTTGTAACCTTGTGCCAGAGAGATAGAAGAACTTTTTACATTTCCTTTAAAAAAGGAAAGAAAAAAAATGTACAAAATAGTGCAGATAATGATTAGGCACGGTTATGTCAATTGCTGTTAATTCAATCAGAGTATCCTTAAGAGCCCCTGTTAACAATAGTGGGTATGTTTATTGCCAAGGTTTTTGTTTTTTTTTTTGCAATATTATTTTTCCAATAATATTGGAATAAAAACGATGGAAGGGCCTCCAGACAGGATGGTATTGGCTAAGAGGAGATTTCTTTTTGTCCTCCCTTTGACGTTTCACAGAAAACATCTTGCATGGAAAAAAATCCATTAATTTATTTTGGAGGGAGAATTTTGGGACGGCAAGTGGAAGTGGGGGAAAGATTAAGTTCTCTGCCTGTGGTGATTCTGATCCCTCCCTGCTATTTTTTATTAACTTTACACCAAACGAGTAAGACATTTACGTAACTTAAAGTTTCAAATTGTCCTTGCGAATTGGAGTTCCTTGTAAAAGTTACCTGGTGAGAAAAACCAATGGAGGTGAATTTGTCCTTCACTGAAAAATCGCCAGGGATTATCAAGTGGGGCTATACCTGCCACAAATTCTGATGCTAAAATCCCATTTTTCCAATAATATTGGAATAAAAAGAATGGAAGGGTCTCCAAACGGGATTGTATTGTGTGGGAATAGTTGGATCTTACTTCTGCAGCAGAAGGGTCGTCACAAGGCAAAGCGCGTGAATTCGATATCAGATTAGTTGCAGTGATGTGCAAGAATCTGTGCTTGGCACAAAAGCTCTGAGTGCAAACACCAATTCTGTTTGCTCTAGGCCTGCTAAAGAGCATTTTTGGGGGGAAAAAAATATTTGAACAAACCAGAAGTATTCCACCTTCAGACCTTTTTCTTGTCACTTTCCCTTCCCTTTATGAGTGTCACCACAAAGGGGATGTACGTTCTTCCAGAGAACCAAATACTGAAGTCTCTCCCAGTCTGTTGCTTCCCAGTGGATTGGCCTACAGCTCCCATCATGCCCCATGGGCCATTCTGACAGTGACCCATGGGAGCTGTAGTCCAAGCTCTCTGGAGAGTGCCAAGTTGGGAAACACTAAAATACATTTCCATCTCACCGTAGGGCTTAGTTTGGAGGGGTATGTTCTTTTACCAGGATGGGGGGGGGAGTGTGAGTGTGTAAATAGTTTGGTGTGCAAAAGTGAATGATCAGAGAGGCAGGAGGGAGGCAGGAAACCACAGCAACCTCCATAAATTAGATTGAAATGCAGAAGAGCAGGTGTTGAGAGAGGTACGGTGGAAGACTTGTAGGAGGTTAGACGTTTGAATATAGCCGAAAAGGTGGCAAGTAGAAACAATGAGAAGATAAACCCTTGAAAAACTCAGAAGGGGAAATAAGTAAAAGCTGAGGACAGGAATATTAACATTAGATAAGTAAAGCTTGACATGTTGTTATGTTGGGAAGGGAGAGACAAGTAGTCCAATAGTCCAAAGGGGTTTAGAGCAGTGTTCCTCAACCTTGGCCGCTTGAAGATGTGTGGACTTCAACTCCCAGAATTCCCCAGCC